TATTATTTGATTTAAATTTTAAATGTCAAATTAACAGAAATAAAACATAATTACTCTCTATTTAGAGAAAATAAGCATTTAAGAATTATTTTTACTGCAAACATAACTTATTGGAGGAACTCTTCGTAAATTACATGCTTAACCACTATGCTATGCACCTAAAACTAATATAATACTGAATGTAAACTTTAACTGACAAATAAAACAAAAAAAATTATATAAAGTCTGTTTTGCTCAACAGTAACTATTATTTATTAAGATGGTGAAGTTCCTAAATGCCATATTTGAACATTTTTGAGAAAGTAGATACAGAATAGCATTCTAATATATCCTCTACACCACTAAAGGACAGCCTTGGCTATATAAAAATGTTTTCTGTGAATAATTTTAATTCTGTTGAGCATTCACTGCTTTTACTATTGGGAAGAAAATAAATGGAAACAAAAGAAAATAGTTTTAGGTGAGGGGAATTTAAAAAATAAAATAAAAAGAGGACCTATCTGGTTTTGTGCTTTCATCTATTTTCTTTCTTCACTCAAATTGATCTTGACTGAAATGTGAAATAAGAAAGTAGCCTTGAAAATTCAGGATAAGAGATATTTTAGTACAAGCATAATGCTCTAGTGGAAAATAAAAAAACAAAAACCTATTAAAAATTGTCAGCAGGGTGTGGTGATGAGTGTAGCTCAGTCCTTTGGCAAAAGGCACTACACCGTCTCCAGATCTGATACTCTGCCTCCATCAAGAGTCACTTGTAGCCACTTAATACCAGATACTCTGTTCTAGACAAGTGATGAACTGGCCTTTTATTTGTTCATTTAACAAGTATTTATTGAACACCAAGTATGTGCTAGGTAACATTGTAGGTGTTGAGGATACACACCAAAAAAACAGAAATATTTGTCCTCATGGAGCTTACATTTTAGTGAGGGGAGATATTTCAAACAAGTTAGCTAATTACGTATCAGATGGTAATAACTACTAAGGTGAAAAACAAAGAAGGGAAAGAAGATAAAAAGTCGAGAGGGTGAAGTAGGATGTGAAATTTTGGACAGGGAAGGTATTTAAAGGGTGATGCTGGGACAAAAATTAGAAAAATAAGGGTGAGCCATGCCAATACTTAGGGAAGAGAATTCTAAGCCAGGGAAGGGCACAGCTGTGAGGTGGGAATATGCTTCTATTTGTGGAAGATCAGTCGGTTGAGGTGTGTGAGCAAGTGGAGGATAGTACAAACTGGAGTCAGAAAGTTTTAGTATGTAGCTTTTAATGATCAAAATAGTGAAATGTTGCCTGGCCCATGTGGCTCAGTGGTTGAGAGTCGAGCCCTACACCGGGAGGTCCCAGGTTCAATTCCCAGTCGGGCACATGCCCAGGATGTGGGCCAATCCCCAGTGGAAGGCATGCAGGAGGCAGCTGATTGATGTTCTCTCATGGATGTTTGTCTCTAAAATCAACAAATATTTAAAAATAAAATAAAATGGTGAAATGTTGGCACCTCTCCCTCTTGGGAGTACACCCAAGCCTTTCCTGGACCCGCCTCCTCTTTCCCCCAGGCCCATTACCTCTACCCTTCTCTCCTAAACTCCAAAGGCCCCGTTTTTTCCTCTGTAATTTGTTTTCTAAACCCATTTCTTCTACAGATCACTTCTTCCTAGGTGACTTCCTAAACAAATTTTCTTATAGTTTGAAAAGGTACATAAATAAATAAAATGGGGAAATGTTGGTGGGCTTTGAGCAAAGAAATGCCATACTTTAACTTATGCATTAAAGATCATTTTGGCCCTGGACGGTTTGGCTCATGTTAGCACATCAGCTTCTGGACAGAAGGGTCGTGGGTTCAATTGCCAGTCAAGGGCACGTACCTGGGTTGCAGGTTCAATCCCTGGCCCCAGGTTGGAGTTGTGCAGGAGGCAACCAATCTGTGTCTCACATCGATGTTTGTTTCTCTCTCTCTCTCCCCCTCCCTCCCTTCCACTCTGTCTAAAAATCAATGGAAAAATATCCTCAGGTGAGGATTAATAAAAAAGATCATTTTGGCTGTTGTGTTGAGAGTATAATGTAGAAAAAAAGATCAGCTAAGAGATTTTAATAATCCTGGTTAGATGATTGCTTAAGACCAAGGTGATGGTAGGGAAATTGTGTTCAAAACAGTGAGATTCTTAGTACATTTTGAACAAAGAGCAAAACTGAACTGATTTAATAAAGATGACTTAATGACTGAACATAGGGTGGTTAAAAAAAAAAAAGAGTAATAGAGATTCCAAGGATTCTGGCCTGAACTACTTTAAGAATGGTGCTACTGAGAAAGACAAATATCACATGATCTCACTTATTTGTGAAATATAATGAACATAACAGTCTGAGGAATGGGGTAGTCCCAGAGATGTGGAAGTGGGGTACAGACTGATAATCCCCAGAAAAGGGGGTAGGGGGGAGAGATAAACCACAGAACTTATATGCATGTATGTATGAACAATGGACATAGAAAACAAAGATGGGGACAGGGTGGGGACAGAGGGGGGAATTAGTGGGGGGAAAAAAGAGAAACATCTGTAACAAAAATTAATTAATTAAAAAAAAAGAATGGTGCTACTATAAACTGATATGATTAAAAACAGTGGGACTGAAGATTATAGATGTGGGGATTAAGATGTTTGTAAATTCAAAATTGGACATGTTAAATTTAAGATGCCTATTAGACATCTACATGAACAGAAATATGTAAGGTTTACACATGTACATACATATACAGATGGAAAAAGACCTGGTCTGCAAAATAACCTTGAACATCTAGAGTATGGTATATGAAGATATGAGACTGGGTGAAGAGACTGCAGATAGTTAAAAGGGCCAAAGTGATTTTCCTTTGTGGCATTCCAACATTAAAAGGTAACGAAATGTAAGTGAACCACCAAGAGAGAAGAAAAGCCAATGATGTTGAAAAACAAAGACAGTATGGCAGGCTAAGGGATGAAAATGTTTCAAGGAGGAGCTGTGTCAACTGGTCAAAGAGAGTACTAATAATTGACTCGTTTTAGAAATATAAAGATCATCAATGACTAAAAGCATTTTTAGTGGAGTAGGATAAAACCTCATCAGTGTAGGTTAATAAACTTAAAAGCAAAAAAATAGTATAATTTTTGCTTGTTTTTCTTTTTTCAAGTACCTACAGGAAAGCATTTATAAATTCTTATAACTGCAACTTCCTGAATACACATAAATGCTAACCCAAGACATCTGTATTTAAATGCAGCTTTGCCTGGTGACCTCATTAAGACAGCAACTGACACAACATTCTGTTGTCTGATTAAATAAGCACACTGAAAGTACAATTCCAAACAAATTCATTTAAGGACACGCACAAAAAAGAGCAAGTTATCTTTCCTGGCAGCACTGACACCTGATGCTTGCCTAAGTGAGTCTACATAACTGCCATTGCAGCTTCTTAAATAGCAGTAATAGGATTTAGTTTCTTCAAAACTGTACTATATTTCATGCCAAATTTAACATTCATTCTGACATGGGAAATTCCAGGAATACTGAACACAAAGCGAATGCTATTAAAGTTTAAAAATCTTTAAGGATACATACAATTATCTTCAATACTCGAAAACATTACTACTAATTCCTTTAGTAACGTAGCATTCATTTGGAACTGCTTAGTGTATAAATAAAATAAAATGTTTATGAATTAGTTGCATACCTATAACTTTGGCCACCATGGGTCTTTACATAATTTTAAACTTCTGATTTGTGCCAATGTACAAATATAGCAGTTGTCAACAGGCGGCTGAAGATGGTCAACTTTGCCCAGGGGCTTTTGGCAATATCTGGAGGCATTTTGCTTTTCAGAACCTGGGGAAGAGAGGAATGCTCTTGGCCTATAGTGAGAGAGGACATGGTTGTGCTAAATAAGCTAAAATGCACAGGACAGGCTACTATAAATTATCTGATTTGGTAACAGTGGCAAGGCTGGGAAACCATGCTCCAGAGGCCAAAATTATCCAAGAGACAAAGGAGCTTAAAATAATTGAAATGCACCCTACACCGTAGACTCAAAATTACTAGGATTCAAATATCCATGTTTGACTAACAGAACGCACTTGAGTAATTTAACTCATTCATGTCTTAGTTTTCTCAACTTTAAAAATAAATGTTATTAGATTCAAATATTTAGTTCAGTTCTTGACACGTACAATGTGTTATTTATCTTTTACACAAAATATTTACATATTAAAATCCAAAATTTTCTATGGTGTAGACTCACACACACACACACACACACCTGTATGAAAACTTGATACATAAGATACGGTCAATTCTTGATTAGCCACCATTGAAATGTTCACTCATTGGATAATTTCAGACTTGGCTATAAGGCCTGAGCCACATAACAGGTAATATCAATATACACATACATTTTCTTCAACTGAATTCCAATTCCACAGCCCATTTTGAAAAAGATAATTCTCTCACATTTTCCCCACCTTAAAATTACTACTAATATACTTCCTGGCCTTTGAAAACCTGCCAAGACTGCAGAAATTCCCAAGATCTGTTCTTGGCCACTGGCCCTGTGGTTAGCAGTGATAGACTCTGATCCAACTAAAATCCCCAGCTAGACCACAGAGACTATAGCCTTGAAAATCTTTAGCAAAGAGAATGCCACAGTAAAAATCACTGTTAACAATTGCACATGCTTCACTATCAGCCAGTAACAGAAATCCAGAAGTTTCCATTTTGCCAATGCCAAAGAGACTTAAATATTCTTCCCGATCTACCTTTGTATAATTTCCAGTTGCAGTTGTTAATTATGCTTTAGTGAAGTTATGGTCTATACACAAAATAAATGTTTTATTGAGCAACCTCAAGTCTTATTTTCATATTATACGTACATATTTTTTTTTTCCATGAAATTCCTTAAACTCTAATACTTATTTCCTATACCCTAGTTATAGAATTCAGAGCACATTTTCAGCATTAAATAGCGAGACATTATCAAGTTTCAAATATTTATTAATCAGTGTAAACCCCAATATAATACACCAACATGATTTCATAGCTTTTGGAGGGGAAATATTTCCTGGTTAAGTGGAAAATTGTGCGGATGGCTTCTGGAAGACCTTCATTCTAAGCAGCTTTATAGTGAAACATTTCACTTAGAAGTCTGGACCTTCTTTCTTCAGTTTGCTGTAATCTACATTCACCGAGTAGAACTTTGAAAAGAAAAAAGATATTTTACATTATCTATCAAATAACCCAGAGATGGTACAGAGTTTTAGAATTATTTTTATTCGCTTTCTATAGTAAAAATTAAAGACATAAATTTTTTATTAAGAATATTTAACAAGGTGAAAGTCATTCAAAGACACTAAAACTCCAGTCCTTCAATAATGGTTTTATAGGGACAATTTATTCAGTCTACCACAGAAAAGCAGTATTAGTATAATCTGTTATTGAACCCATAAAAAAAGTCTTGCTTCATAGTGAATAAGAATTCCTTCATACTTCCAATTCTTAAGTTTTTACTTTTATGTCCACTAAGTACACAGATGAATTTCTGATAGAATAGACAAATCTCTATTTTGGTTAGCCAAGTTTTATAAGTTAGATAGGAGAGATGTATAGCAACCAAGATAGCTAGTAATATGGTAATGTTTTGATGTGTGGCTTACATAACTTTCTAGACAAATACTGGCTTGCCTTGGTGGCTTTTTTCCTACTACTTTTTTAACCCAGATTGCATCAATATCAAACTGACACCTGATCATTTCTGGTACAACAACTTTTAAATAGTACTGTATTTTTGCTTTTAAATAACACTGTATATTTGGAAATTATGTAATTTCCATATATTCAATTAGACTTAATTTTAGAAATGTTACTAAAATTGCTTTTAAAAAACTAGCTTTAACACTCAATAACTTTTCTTTTTAATGGTTCATGTTGTAAACTGCTCCAGACTGAAGAAACATTAGAATTTGTACATAAGCCCAAATAAGGCTATAATTTTGAGTCTGCTCGTTCTTGTGCCAAAGAAAACTAAAAAAGTTGTGCTATAATTACTTGAAGACTGAATCAATTCCAAAACAAACAAACAAACAAACAAACAAAACCAAAACAAAATTGCAGAACCATTAACATTGTCTTCAGGGATTTTAAGCAAGAAGCTCATAAATCTGTATCCATTATTTCTTCAAGCCCTTTGCTTTAGTTCTCCAAACATACCCCAATTTTCTTTTAATCTAACTGAAAAATTCTTATTTATTTGACTTCTTAAAAAAACAACAACCCAGGTGATAAAGCTTATCCTTCAGATGCACTGACTTTCATAAAGAGAAAAGAACAAATGAGCACTAAAGCAGTATTCTTTGTTTACAGTATTCTCTTATGAAGCAACTGAACCAAAATAATGAGACTTTAAAAAAAAAGTGCTATCCCTAACAAAATATTACGGGAATATTTATAAAAGAAACTGCAGGTTATATATTAAGAAGAAAATAAACATTAGTTGGGCTCTTTTAATGGACTTCAGGCAGTAAAGGCTGTGTTTACCTTAGTTCATTATTACAACCTTACTCATTCTTACTTTATAAAAGAGACAAGTGAAAATCAAGTTGCCAAACAATGAATAAGCAGGATCAAGTCCCTATACGCATGCAGAGTGGAAAGGTCATAGCCTCTTTCTCAATTTTCTCAAAACTAAGCCGGCTTCTGATATATTTGCTTCTATTAGGTTCCATGTGCCAGTATCAAAATTCTGTTGAAGTAATTTTCAAATCTGCTTTATTTTTCAGCTTCCATGTCCCCATTCTTTTTCTCAATTTAATGGTGGCTATCCTGAAGGTCTGTGGAACAGTTGAGAAGGCACGACATATTCTTATCTTGGTTTTGGACATTTTATTCAGCTGAGAAGTGTTCCTGGCCTTTGATGTATAAATCCTATTTTAGTACTTTCTCTGGTTTGTATTAGTTAGCTTTAGGTAGATGATAAAGTGGCAACAAATAACCTCCAAATCTTAGTGGATTACAACAATGGTTTATTTTTAACTCACATTATATAACACTTACAAAGTGACAGCTCCATGTTCTCCATGTTCCAATCTTTGGATGAATGAGTAATCCTTAATGGTCAATTCTGCTCTCATGACAGATGGAAAGGAACAATGGAGGCAACCACACACTGGTTCAGTAGTGGCAGATACCACTATCCTTCACTTAGGATTTGCCAGAGCAAGTCATGTTGCCAAACCGGACATGGGTGTGCCAGAAAAACAAATTCTTTTAGGTGAAAGACAGTGAATGATAGAATAACCTAGTCTACTTCACTGTTTGGGTTTAGGAGCAGTAGTAGGCTTCACTCACTATAGGCTCACTAATTTCTAGACTGGTCCCCTTTTATTTCTTCTTGCAAATCAGTCAATTTTTTTATAAGCTCATCTCTTGGCAAATACATCCAGCAGTAATAGTCCATTAATATCCCGTTTTCTAAAATCTTTCTATAAAGCCCTTCAGGTTCATGGTCCACCTTCCAAGTACAGCAGGTGACACTTTATCAAATATTCTGCCATTATATAACTCATATTTCCAGTTTCTAACGTCAGTGCCATAGCTACTCAGAGCCCACTTTATGACATACATACTAGTATTTTGTTGTAGCAACATTCCATTTCCAAATTCACATGGCCTCACACTGGCATGTGTTATCATGTCCGAGAGCACTGGTAACTGGCTTCATTATCAGAATCACCTGGGGAGCTTTATGAACTACACAGAGCCAGAGACTCCAATATATATTCCTTGATGGAGGATCAACATCTGTTTTTTTGGTTTTCTTTTTTTAAACTTCATTGGATATGATACCATTTTCTCTAGAATGGACTTAATTTAAACAAACTTAAAAGAAAGAAAAATAAACCGCAATGCCTGTTTATCACGTTTTTGAGGCAAAATTTAACACACCGATCAGATGGCTCATTTCAGATTCGCCGATGTATTTTTGTTTGTTTCTTGTGGGGAGATCTTTTTAGAGATTTGGAAGCCAAATTATAATCTAAAGTTTGAGTAGAAAGCTTGAAATAAGCAAAAGGTGACAATTATCTTAAAAGCTGCTTTTATCATTAATGCTAGTATCCAACTCCATTATGGAGGTATATCTCCTAAGGGGTCTTAGGCACACATTAGTCAGAGTAGCTCTTCTTGAAAGTGCTTAAGTAAATTGCTATTTCTCTTTTGATGAAGCAGCATTGTATAGTGGAACATATAGGGAAATTGTATGGTATGTAAATTATGCCCTAATAAAACTGTCCTGTTTTTTGTTTTGTTTGGCATTGCAAGGGCTTGTCTTTATATACAAAAATTTTACACATAAGAAAGGTTATGTTTGGGGAATCAATAAATGGTCTCAGATTTGCAACAATATGATGGACCTTGAGGGTATTATGCTAAGTGAGACACATTAAACAGAGAAAGACAAACATTGTATGATATCACTTATATGTGAAATCTAAAAAGTTGAACTTATAAACACAGAGAGTAGAATGGCGGTTACTAAAAGGTGAAAGAAACAGAAAGATGTTTAAAAGTACAAACTTGCAATTAGTAGATAAATAAGTTCTGGAGACCTAATGCACACATAGTGATTATAGTTAACTGTATTATAAATTTCAAAGTTGCTAAGAAATTAGATCTTAATTGTTCCAACCCAAGAAAAGAAATAATTATGTGATGTGATGAAAGCATTAGTTAATGCTACTGTAATCATATTGCAATATATCAATGTATCAAACCAACACATATAAACTTACACAACATTATATGTCAATTATATCTCAAAAAAATAAATAAATGGTTTCAGTCCATGAACCACTCTTCAGAAAAGATGTGAAAAAGTTTATCTAGAAGGTCCATGGTAAAATTTCAGTTCCAACTGACTTTCATTTCTTCCTACTAATCTTCACATGAAATATTTCAACCACACCAACAAAAAAGAACAGCCAATGAAAACATCCATTAGATTAGTGATACTCAAAGCATAGTCCCTGGACCAGCAGTGTCAGCATCACCTGAAACCTTGTTAGAAATGAAAATTCTCATTCTCCACAAGAGATCAGCTGAATCAGAATCTCTGGGGGTGGAGCTAAAAAAATCTGTTTTCACAAACTCTCCAGATGACACCTATGTACACTGAAGTTTGAGAAAAACTACCTGGACTAAAAGCTATGAAAACAGTAAATAGGAGCTATATTCTCTCTCTTTTTTTCCTTCATCAAATCAGTAGAATTGAGACATTATCTTAATTTCATATCCAGAGTCTAGTCTGTGAATAAAATCCTTAACAAAAAATACTTATTAGAAAAATGTACCATTTTAATTTCACAGAATAATCTAGAAGCTCTTCAAAGTTCTTTATAATGAAATTTTACTTGTACATCCAATTTAAAATAAAAACTGTTCCATGACAAAATGTATTAAAACACACTTTCCAGCAATTCTTAAACAATTCTATAGCTTACCTTGTATTGCTCATTGGGACCCAGTTTGTTCCAGGGTTCTGGGTTCTTTCTGTCCCAACTAAAATAAAACATTATACTTGTTATAGCAATAAAAACTATTTAGAATAGTTTTGTACTTCTTAAAAAGCTAATGTTTTGAATAGATCAATCTTTTATTATTAGGTGAAATACGATTTTGTTTTCATTATAAAGCTGAGAGATTGAATGTATAATAAGCAATTCCATGTGATCGATTAGTACCAAGGTAAACACAGAGCTTCATGGGGCAGCTGTCCTTGTCCCTATTCTTGGCACAGAAAACTTCAAACCTGGCTGTTACTAAAGTTTTCTGCTTCATCAATGAAGTGATATATAGAAACGTGCACAGAATGACAATGAATCAATCTTTTCTCCTTGCTTATTGTTTTCCAACTTTAAAAAACAACACCCCAAAAATCATCCATATGTTATTGTGGAAAAGCAGGCAAAAAAATTTTACAGTACCAGCAACCCTGATTATTTTATAAAAACAATTATCTCAATTTTTACAAGATTACAAGATAGATATTAGCAGTTCTATTCTACTGATGAGAAAATGGGATTCAGAAATTTAGATAATCTCATGAACTAGGAAAAGCAAATGACAATGACAGAACTTGGATCTGAACTTGCTGTACGACTACAAAACTCAAGTTCTTTCTATTACTTGATGCTGCCTCCCCAGAAAGACTGTGGCTCCAAAACCAGCTTGATGAATCATCAAAGTTACAAACGTTTTTAAGTACTTACCAGACATCTGGATTGAACAATGCCAGGCGTGTAACATACAACATTGCCCCAGTACCTCCGGCTCCAATAAATACAAAGAGGGGGATCAACTAGAATCAAACACAAAACCCAAGAATTAATAGTTATCTTCAAGTACCCAGACACTGATGATGGGAAGGCTACAGTAGTTTCTACTCATTGATTCCCAAGTTTCAAACTGCTATTTTTCAATTCTGTCTTAAAATGTTAAATGGTCACTTTGGCTCAGCGTTTGAGCGTCGGCCAGCGGGCCAGAGAGTCCGGGGTTCGGTTCCCACTAAGGGCATGTACCTCGGTTGCAGTTTGTCATGCGGGTTGCAGTTTGTCATGCGGGTGGCAACCCCTCCATATGTCCCTTTCACGTCGATGTTTCTCTCTCTCTCACTCCCACTCTATCTGAAGAAAATATGGAAAAATGTCCTCGAGTGAGGATTAAAAAAAAAAAAAGTTAAAAAGGGTAGACGTTACATTGAAGTAATATTTTAAAAAACTGTATTCAAATAAGTGGAAATTCCAACGAATGTGAGGATGATATTGGCTTACTGTGGAAAAATTATCCAAAATTTAAAATTTCCAATAAAACATATCATCTACTTTACCTTTTTAACATTTATGCATCATTACCAATACATTCCCCAGCTTCCTTTATTTTGAAGCTTGAAAAACAAGCTCTTGGCAAATTACTTAAGCTTCTCTCGACATATACGTTACAAAAAACACACAAACTGTGTGGAATAAAAAGCCCGAATGAGTAAACATAAACACACTTGATACACGTATTAGTTTTGGGCAGAACCTCTGAAAACACACTGCTACCAATGCTTAATGCGTCGACAGGTGCATTTAGGGTACAGATTACCGGCTGCGTAATTGAGTTTTTAAACCAAGATACATTGACGTAATGGGGGGATGGGGGGGGGGGAGAGACGAGGGATTCAGAGGAACTTCACTGCAGTTATATTCTGCGCTATCAAACTCCCCCAAAATGTCAAGGCAGCAAGACGAACTGAGGATTCCAAGACCACAGACCCTCACGTTTGCCACAAGGCCTGGTGGTGCAATCCAGTGTATACAAGATCCTTAACAGACAGCACCAAAAAATGGGTAACCTAAGCTTTCCTCGTCGTAATCCACACCGCGCACAACCATCCCTCTTCGCCCGAGCAACCTGAAAGAAGGCGCGGCCACGTTATTCCAACAGTCACTAGTTTCTTTTCCTCCAACGTCTCCCTCACCTTGAGCCGGCCAGCCCAGAGCCCACAATGCACGGCGTGGAAGGTCAGAGCTCAAGGACCTGGAGCGACCAGCAGGACAGGACAAATTAGGCCAGGTCCAGCCTCGAGGAAGGAGCGGTAAGAGGCTGTGCAGGAGGAAGCTCCCAGGGGACTGAGGCAGCCGCAGTCCGACACTGGGTGGGCCACTGGGAAAGGGGTCACGAACTTACGCTTGGATGCTTCTTGGCCTGGCTGAGGATCTGGCGGAGCATGGTTGCGGCAGAGGGCCCGGAAGCAGAGGAAAACAAACCTGCACAGCCGGTACGCAGGTAGTCAGCTCACCGAGGATCAGCGGACGTCCAAAGTCACTCAGGACCTCCTACCTGAAGGACCCCTGGCTCGGAGGGCACCCTGCGGCAGGAGGGCCCGGATGCGGCTGTCCATCATGATGCCTGCTTCCTTCAGCGCCTCAGGCGTCTGCCCTAACCTGACCAGACCTTCAGGGGTGCACTCCAAGGGCAATATTCTTATTCCTGTGCAATGCTTATTTCCCATGGGCAATATTTTTCCCGCCAAATCTGGAACATTGGTATTGAATAGGCAGGCACTTTCTCGGGAGGCCACGCGTTGAGAGACGGGGGCGGGCGGGCGGTCGGACAGGCGCGCGCTCCACCAGCCGGGTCCTCTGGCCAGGCGCCTGCCAGCCGGGTCCGCGCGCCCAGGCGCTGGGGACGCGCGTGCCGGTTGCGCGCCGGGCGGCCGGCCGGCCGCTGAGGGAGCAGAGCGGCGCCTGGAGCAGCTGAGCGCCCGGCGTTTGGAGGGCAGGTCGAGTCTCTTGCGGCTTAGGTCAGCGACTGCGGTTTCAGAAGACTGCAGCTGCTTCCTGTCTTTGACTGTCGCTTATGCGCCGAGGTTTAAAAGTGTAAATGCTTTAAAGATGGCAATACTTCTGTGGGTATCCCTAGACCTTCAGGCCCTGGACCTCAATTAATGTTCAACGCCACAAAGACCTTTGCGACCTTGCCCTCTCGCTGAGCTCAAAGGTGTCTTCTTAAAATGTGTTTTCAATGATCGTGTCCCTACACGTCTTTTCTAATACCCCAGTACAGTTTTCATTTATCTCTCTCTCTCTCTCTTTTTTTAACCCCAAACCTTCCATGGGTCAGATTTTAGGAGGTGCTAGGGATCATCTGATTTTAAAGCATTAATGCTCACACAAGCAATTGGGTCTGAGAAGAGGAGGAAAAGGCTCCTCCGGAAAAGTAACGTGAGCCCTGGAGGAGTAGACGATAACCGACCGAAACGGAGGATGCAGGTGTGCAGAACAGAGGTTATAGGTGATAGGATCTGAATCTACAGAGGGCTTTTGAGGAGGTGAGGGAGGTCTGGGACGGCTGGAAGTCGGAAAGGGAGAGCAGCAAGGTGGAGACCAGATGTGCTGGGCCAGTGACCACTTACACATCGTGGGTTTTGTGCTGAGACAATTAGGAAGTTAAGCAAAACAAGATAACTGTGGTTTCGAATGATTGTTATGTCTATGAAGAGAGGATTAAAGGAGATGAGCATGAAGGGGGAGGGACTGGGTAATGAGCCATTGCAATAGTCCACGTGTGAGATAATGGTAGCTTGGACTAGAATAGGGAATGTGATGATGAAGACAAGATTCCAGAGATATTTAAGAGGTAGCACCCACAGGACTTGGTGACGAGAGAGAGAAGTGAGAGAGGAGTCTAGGATACTTGGTTCAGAAATTCAGTGTTAACCATCTGTATTGATGTAATGCCAATTATTGGGATAAGAACAATAGAGAATGATGGATATGTATGTAAAATTCAAGCGCATTTCTGTAGGGCAGAAGAACGATCTGGACTGGAAGAATGTACAGGGTGTCCCCAAAAATGTATGCGGGGTATCTGTAGATTCTATTACACTTTGAAAATGAAATGGATTTTAATAAACACTGGCTTTATAATCATACTTTTTTGTGTATGCATTTTGTGGGACACCCTATATTTAGGACTCCATTTATTGGTGAGAATTGAAGCCACGTGACTGAATGAGTTTGTTTAGGGAGAGAAGGTAGAGTGACGAGAGACAAGGACATAGAGAGCTGAGAAATTCCAACATGCAATGCTTGGAAGAGGAAATAATGGCCAGCGAGGTAGGGAAAAAAAAGATAAATGGTTATTATCAAGATGATGTATCATGAAGCTTAAGAAGATTGGTGTCTTTTTCATTCATTCAATAAATATTTATTAAGTATCTACTCTGCACCAGACACTGTTCGACTAGGTATATATCAGGGAATGAGAAAACAGTTCTGCCCTAATGGAGCTTCCATGCTGGCTGGAAAGACAAACTATAAACAAGATAATTTTCAATAGTTATAAACCAATAAAGTAGAATGAATAGAGAGAAAGACATGGGGGAGTGGAGGAAAGAAAGTTATTTTAATGAGAATAGACAAGGAAAGTCCATCTGAGGAGGTCATATTTGAGCTGAAGCCTAAATGGAAGGAAGGAGGTAATCTGGTGAAGATCTGGGGAAAGAATATTTCAATTGTCAGGAGAAATGGTTTTGAAGTTAAAGAAAAAAAAGGCTCAAGGAGGCCACTGTAGCTGATCCATAACAGAGAAGATGAGAAAAAAATGAAATCAGAGATTATAAAGGCCTCTCTGACATTGTCCTTATAGACTATGATAAGGAGTATGGCTATGTTAAAATAAAAATAAACACAAAAATCATGGAAAATATTTAGAAATGAATATAGAAACCTAAGAGCAGTAAGTGTAGGTAGGGTTTCAGCAAAATAATTAGAAAGGGGAAGACCTCTCCTTAGCAATATTTTGTTTTTAATGAAAACAGTTCATAATAAAATAAGGAATACCACTGCTAATAAGAAAGTAAAATCCAGTGGCTTACTTTTTTGTCATTGACCTAGTTTCTAATGTAACAATAATATAGGCAGTCAAGTGATGCCTTTGGAAATGTTAACAAAGCAGGGTTACAGAGTATAAATTTCATTAAATATTAACCAAAATGTCAAATTGTAAAAATTTAAATTTTTCACATTGAAGTTAGGTTAAAGAGTCTGTGACCTATATTTTAAGCAGGAATTGAAAAAGTACAAGTGACAGTCTAGAAAAAAAAAGCCATAGTAGAGGTTACATATTATAAAAATAAATTTTAGACTTGAAAGTAGAACTGGTATTGTGGTAGACTGTATTATACCTGCTGCCTCACCCTAGACAGGGATATCACTTATTTGCCTCATTAATGTCAAGCTTCATAAGGTGATTTGTTTTATTAGCAAATGAGATCTGAAAAGAAATGTGTGATGCAGAAGTAGAAGCTCTAAGAGTCAAAGGGTGCTATATTCTCTCTTTTCTCTCTGCCACAAGATCAGTAATGTTCTAGATGGAAATTTGGGTGTCAGGATGGAAACTACCTGGAGTAGACATTGCTGACCTGCAGTGGGCATGCATTGAGAATGAGAAATAAATCTATATTGTTACAAGTCACCAGATTTGAGAGTAGTCAATTACTGCAGCATAACCTAGCCTACTCTGTCTAATAAAGAATTTGGCGCTGAAAATGTGATGGCAGTTTATAATAAAAATCCTAAAATATGTGGTATTTGATTCCTAGCAACGGGTGACAAGGTAACAGAGACTAGAAGGATGGCAATCTGTTTATGCAGTGCTGAAACATTTGGTGAAACAGTTCTCAATTAATTGGAAGACAGTCAGTGTTACTGATGAACTCCTAGCTTTCAGTGAATGGCAGACAAAGGGTATGTTAGCAACATGTGTCAGGTATTATTAGCAACAGTTGACAAAAGATATGGACTCAAAATAATTTGTCAGTTTGCAAGCTGTAATGAGAATAGAGCATCTAATAATTTGTAGACATGCTTAGTTGGAAGATGAAACTGATTCTCATCTCCAGCTGTATAAGATAAAAGTGAGAAGGTGTTTGGCTGAAAAGGTCAATTCAAACATCAAGTTAATGACCCATTCAAGAATGTAGCCATCATACCTTTGTTGAAACATCTCAGTAAGTTAAGGTGTCTCAGTAAATTCTCTCGACTGAATAATTTGAAAGTCAAAAACAGATAAAGGTGTAGCTCTCTCACCAAAGTTTGATAGGATCAAAGTGACAAGTCTAGAGAAAGAAAAAAAGAGGTGTCTCTAAAAAGAATTGCGAGTATGGCCTGTGATGGATGGAGTTTGCTTCAAGAGAAGTAGACCAATTACTGCTAAAAGAAACATCAGCCTTGGAATAATGAGTCAGTGACTGTTTGAGATGCGTAATGACACTTGGACTCTCTAATCTTCTGAAGATGAGAAATAGGTTGAGAGATGTGATCTTCTTCCAAGGAGGTCCTGTTCTATAATATCCTTTTATTCTATAATTGCCTTAGATTGAATCTAAGGCAATACTTCCCAGAGAGGGAGACAGGAACCACAGGGAAGAGTGGACTAGAACAAATCCCCAGATAGTAAAATCAGAGTCTAATCAAAGAATATTCCACACCTTCAGTCAATAGCAACACCTGTCTTGTAAGATTTCAGGTCCAGTGTATGCCTCCCATTCTTTCTCTTTCTGAATAGGATCATTCATTGTGGTTATCCAATCCCTGTTCTGCCATTGTATTTTGCATGTTGTGAGGCAAATAACTTGACTTTGTTACTTCACAGGTCTCCAGATCAAGAGGAAACATACCCAGAACAAACACAGAGACTACAGCATCACTCAGAGATCGTAGGCTTTGAGCTGGCATTAATGATAATATGGGACTTTTAGGTTATCTCTGTTGGTGAGGAGGGTGAGTATATTTTGATACAGGAAAGGAGAACAATTGAAATGATTGCAATCAGAAAGGCAGACTGTGGTAGATTGTCTTTTTGTTCATAAATATGTAATGTCTTACTGGGAAAAGATTATATTTGTATTTCCCTGTTTATACCAAGCTTAGCCAGATGACTTGATTTGAGCAAGAAGGGTACAAAAGTAAAAGTACTAATAATACAGAAAAAAAGAAGAGTGTGGGGCCTGCAAAAAACTTAATGAAGACTGTGGTCTTTGCAGAATGATCAGACCAAAAAAAAAAAGAGGGAAATTTGCATTCCATATAGATGAAATACCTTAAATTAAGCAGCAGAAATGAAAGGCCAGTGTAAGTTCATAGTGTGTAGAAGGAATTGAGATGCGGTTCGTCTGATTAGGGTTTAGGTTGCATACGAAGTTATAGGAAATGAAATGGAAAAAGTTAACCCAGATTTTAAAGAATTTTATTTCTTTACATTTTATTTTGGGGGAATGACATTGTTTTTTGTTTTTTTTTTCTTTCTTAAATTGTTTTAATTGAATTATATTTTAA